CAATAAAACAACCCTAGGGCCCTCGGTGGGTCAAAAAATCACAAAAAACTGAGACTTACCGGCGGCAGAGCTCTCGGGTACGGCGGCTTCTCCGGCACGAGTCGCGGTTTGATATTTTGCTCCAGTCAACCTGTAGAGAAAATGACGATAATCACAGTGGTGTAAAAATTGCATCAAATGAGAACTGGAAAGGGCTTCATCAGAGGCAAAAATCGAAGGAAGCCACGGCCACACCGCTGGACTTCGACAGTGTTTTTCGGCCGATTGGCCGGTTGTTTGGCTCCGATTTGGCCGTAGGCAGATTCAGCTTCGAAAAATGAGCCAAGAGGAGAAAATTTACCTCGTTTGGAGGTCGAAAAACCCTCTGGTGCGGTGGCGGGTGACGGCGGCCGGCTCCTTCGGCGACTGGTTCTTATTCTCCGGCGAGGGCACTAGTGGCTAGGGTTTGGGGTCGGGTGTGGGTGAGGTTATTTATAACCTTCCCCTTTTAATCTCAGCCATCCATCACGATTTAATCTAGGCCGTCCAATAGCGATTAAAATAAGAATAAATCTGGGTCGTCCATCGCGATGCGATCTGGGTTGTCCGTGCGTGATTAAATCTGGGTCGTCCGCACTCGTTAGATCTGGGCCGTCCGTGCGCGTAAGTTCTGGGTCGTTCGCACGCGTGAGATCTGGACCGTTCGATCGTGTGCACGCGGATCGCTCACGTGGCTCCGTCCGCATGGTCTCCCGCGTCAGCTTCCTTGCCTTGCGACGTGTTCTGGTTGGCTGGGGCCGCTGACTGAGCTGCTGACGTGGTACAACTTTTTTAAATTGCGTTTTGACCCCCGGTTTTCGATTTTCTTTCCAAAAACACCCCCAGAATCCAAATTTTCACTCATTTTTCCCAAAATCAATTTCAATTAAATCCTAAAAATAATTTTACCCTATTTTATCATTATTATTATTTTTATTTTCATTAAAGTAAATTAAATTAAAACATTATAAATTAAATATTAAAAAATTAAACTAAAATTCTAATATATATTAAAATAAATAAGAAAAAAATTAAAAAAATAATAATAAATTGGGTATAGATCTGAAAGGTCTCTCCGTATAAGTAGTAGCGCCAGGTCTTCAAGGCGTGTATGATTACGGCAAGCTCCAAGTCATAGGTAGGATAATTCTTCTCATGATTCTTTAACTGCCTGGACCCATATGTTATGACCTTTCCATGCTCCATCAGCACACAACCCAGGCCTAAATAGGAGGCATCACTATAAACTGTATATCCTCCCGATCCACTCGATAAAGCCAGTACGGGTACAGTAGTCAGCCGCTTCTTTAATTCTGAAAAACTTCTTTCGCAGTCCTCATTCCACTCAAATTTGGCATTCTTCTTTGTGAGTCGGGTTAGAGGAGCTGCTAGCTAGAGAATCCTTCAACAAACCTACGGTAATAACCTGCCATCCCCAGGAAACTCCGAATTTCCTTAACTGATGTCACTTCTCCCAGCCAAGTACCGCTTCACCTTTCGGATTCATTGATACTCCTTTCTTCGATATGAGGTGTCCTAGGAAGGTGGTCTGCTCAATCTAGAATCCACACTTACTCAACTTTGCATATAACTTCTTGTTTCTGAGAACCTGCAAAACTTGGGTAAGATGGTGAGCATGTTTTTCTCTGCTTTTTGAGTAGACTAAGATGTCATCGATGAACACGATAACAAAATGATCCAAGAACTCTCTGAAGACCCTATTCATCATATCCATAAAGATTGTCAGGGCGTTGGTTAACCCAAATGGCATTACCAGGAACTCATAATGTCCGTACCTAGTTTGAAAGGCCGTCTTTGGGATGTCTTCTATTCTTATCTTCACCTAATGGTAGCCTAATCGCAGGTCTATTTTAGAGAAGACCTGTGCACCTCGCAGCTGATCGAAGAGGTCATCAATTCTGGGAAGGGGATATTTGTTCTTGACCGTAACCTTATTCAATCCTCTGTAATCAATACACAGTCTCAACGTTCCATCTTCCTTCCTTGCAAAAGTAACTCTGGCACCCCAATGGGACACACTATGTCTAATAAAACCACTGTCTTATAATTCAGTGATCTGTTTCCTCAACTCTTCCATCTCAATGCGGCTCATGCGGTAAGGAGCAACCGAAATGGGATGGGTGCCTGACTGTAAGACTATAGTGAACTCGACTTCCCTGTCCACTGGCAGTTCGGGTAGTTCGTCCAGAAATACATCTGTAAAGTCTCGGAATACCGGAATCTTTTGGATACAAATTTCCTTCTTAGGCTTGCCTAATTAGAGAAAATAGCAAGATTAAGGTACTAAAAAATTAAGAAGACTTACCATCAAGGAATAAGTACTAAATGATTTTATTAATTTGTAAATGACTTCTCATTGGGAGGATTAAATACAACATTCTTGTTAAAGCAATCTATGGTGGCGTGATACGCCACTAGCCAATCCATTCCTAAGATTACATCAAAATCCTCCGTGTCTAAACCTATCAGGTCTACACTCAGTTTCTTATTTGCTATCTCCATGGCTTGTCCCTGTAGATAACTTTTTCTAATAGTGTTTCACCCCCAGCAGTAGATACAAATAACAATGAATCAAGTTTATCAGGTGATACATTAAATTTGAAAGCAAAAACATGTGAAACAAATG